CCTGGGGCAGAAAGAGGTGGTTGAAGTTCCTATTTGGGGTCTCCGTGGCTCCAGAGGTGTATCAGTGGAAACAGCACGAGCTGCTGGTGGGACTCAGTGGCGTGGAACCCATAGCAGATGACATCGTAGTAGTGGGCTGAGGGGACAGTGATGAGGAGGCAAACAGTGACCACGACGCCAAGCTGCTGGCCCTGATGGACAGGTACTGACACATCTTGTCCTCCACCCGATTGAAGGCGGATCCAGAGAAAGTGAAGGCTGTCTTGAACATGCCTGCTCCCCCCCATCTGATGTGAAGGCAGTGCAGCGCTTTGTTGGATTCGTTACCTACCTAGCCAAGTTCCTGCCGCTGCTCTTGGGGGTGTGTGAACCACTAAGGCGGCTCATGGACAAGGATACCATCTGGTACTGGCTCCCAAAACACAACCCAGCAGTGAAGGAAATAAAGCAATAGGTCACCCAGACACCTGTCCTGCAATACTACGATGTGTCAAAACCTGTCACGATTCAGAGTGACTCGAGCCAGTATGGACTGGGCTGTTGCCTCATGCAAGAGGGCCAACCTGTAGCATTCACCTCTAGGGCACTCACTACAACAGTGCAGAACTATCCCCAGATAGAGAAAGAGTGCCTCAGCATTGTGTTTGCATGCCAACGCTTCCATCACTACCTGCACGGGCGTGACAACATTACCGCAGAGACAGATCACAAGGCCCTTATTGCTATATTCAGCAAACCTCTCCTGAACGCCCTGAAACGCCTGCAGAGCATGCATGCTAATGGCTCTACAAAGCTAAAACCTCAAGGTGGTGTATAAGTGTCAGGCTCAGCAGGGCTACTGCATCAAGCACACACACACCCTCCATGCATGAACAACATACAGTGTGCAGCTTACAAACAGAGCAAGTGTATGTTGAACACATCAACCAGGCTGATTACCTCAATGTTACAGACCAGCACCATGTACAAATCAGACAGTACACAGACAGGGACGAGCACCTACAGGCATTGAGGTCTGTGATTCTGATGGGCTGGCCCGACCGCAAGGAAGAAACTGCTCTAGAATATTGGCCAATCAGAGAGGAGCTCAGTGTTCAAAATGGGATGCTATTCAAAGGTCAGAGAGTCGTTATCACCCGGTCCCTGCGCCCTGAGATGCTGGCGAGTTTGCATTCAAGTCACATTGGGGGTGAGGCCTGTTACAGACAAGCAGGTGACACACTGTATTGGCCAGGAATGCAGAGTGAAATAAAAGACTGTCAGCAAATGCACAATCTGCAATGAATAAGCCATTGAGCATCAGAGAGAGACAATGATGTCCCACGAGCTATCGACGCGCCCCTGGCAGATAGTAATCCTAGATCTCTTTCAGCACAGTGGCAAATACTTTTCCTGTTAGTCGACTTCTGGGAGATTGACCTCCTCCCCAACCTGTCAGCAGAATCAATGATGAAAATGCTGCAAGGCTCAGTTTGCCCGCTATGGCCAGCCAAATAGGGTCATCTCAGATAATGGACCCCAATTAGGGTCTTTACGGCATCTGCATTGGCCATTCATACTTCTTGCACTTCGTACCATCCCCACCTACAGTCAATCAATCATGTCAATGCTAAGCTGTACGGAGCCCTCTGCATAGTAAAACAATTTGGGAGGCGCACAGCGATGCGGTCTGGAGCTTGATTTGGCCTCCGCAAGCCTCTGGAGGCTCCATAATTGCGTCACACCCTCCGTATAAAGCCTCCGTCCTGCATTGCCAGATCAAGCATAATTCGGCTTATACCCGATGTCCACAAGATGCATATGCGTTTTGTTTTGCCGGTTGTCTAGCCTGCATTTTCCGTACTTGACGCACGTGCTTCGCTTTCAACTAGCTAAAAGCTAGCTAGTTGGAGTCTGTGTGTACTTCCGTTTGTACCACCACAAAGAGTTTGATGCATCTGGTGGACATGAGGCGTTACTCGCATCAATGACTCTGTCTTGTCATTTAACATCCAAACACAGCTCTTCAATCTGAAATAAAAAAAAAGCAGCAGGAGATACAGCAGCATCCCATCATAGCCTTGAAGCACCCATTGCCAAGTATCCCTGTCAGGCCTGTTACACAAAATAGACATAAATATTACAGAGAAATCACAACTTTATATCTACAGCATAAGCCATGCCAGCAGACCATCTGAGCAGTTGCAGCTCTATTAAGATAGAGTATGTTGTACAGTAAATAGAAGAGTTTCCATTTGTAATGGATTTTTCAGTACCTTCTGCTTTTACCCCTCTCGCTGTTACCGCATCAATCTTTGCTGCTGGACCTATGTAGACAAGTAAACAATTACTTTTGCTTTAAAGGGGAACAACAGCACATTTCGGAAATGTGTTAAAGTACCTAAACCTCTCTGACTCAGCGTTGGACTATCTGTTACAGTGCGCATCCAGAGAGGAAGAGGCGAAGCGAGAGTTTTCACTCAGCCCAAAATCTGTCCATGACAAAATAAGCCCACGAAGTGAGGAATTCTTGTATGGAGGTCAATGAGTGTGTGTCGAAATTGGTCAACAAAAAATGGAATTGCTAACTTTCTACACAAGGCTTATTTGATCAAATAGAAGGTTTGTATTGGTTAGGTTGTTACGAATGCACTGATATAAGTGGACGCACAGTGGCATTATCAGCAACGTTGAAAAAAACAACTTTATATTGGAGTTGCGCCTGTTGTCATAGAGATAGAGGACTCATCATGGACATTGCCATTGGAGGCTTCCACCATTTCAAAGTAGTCAACTGGGTGGGGATTCCTGTATATATAGCCTCCCTACTGTCACTTTATTTTTACTTCTGCTCTTTTTTTGTTGTTGTTTTTTTTTTATAAATAAATGCACTGTTGGTTAAGGGCTGTAAGTAAGCATTTCACTGTGATGTCTGCACCTGTTGTATTCGGCGCATGTGACCAATACAATTTGATTTGATTTGATTTGATTTGATTCCTATGAGTTGGGAGAAGTCAGCCAATGAAGAAGAAGAAAATGTACTACTTTAAAATGGAGATCGCCTCAATGGCGCTGCCAATGCTGTCATAGACGCTATAATGGAACAGATACAAAGATGAGTCTTCTATCTCTCTGGCCTGTTGTTTACACGCGTATCTGCCCTCTCATTGGCTAGAATGGTCCCACCTGATCTCGCCTCCTCCCGCCTGCCTTCCATCTTTGAGGACATTTATTTCCATTGTTAGAGCGGTCACATGTATGTCTTGTCAATATAATAGACAATCTTTGCGCTACTTCACAAGGTTATGCGCTCCTCCCCCTCACTGCAGCACTAGATTATATAATGCAGATCTACAGAAAAATAAACATGCCACAGCGAACATACTTTCTTCGGAAGGCCCGATTGTGAGATATGGCATATACACAGAGTGTACAAAACATTAGGATATTGAGTTGCACCCCCTTTTGCCCTCAGAACAGCCTCAATTTGTCAGTGTCAAAAGCCTTCCACAGGGATGTTGACTAATGCTTCCCACAGTTGTGGTAAGTTGGCTGGATGTCCTTTGGGTGGTGGACCATTCTTGATACACACGGGAAACTGTTGAGCGTGAAAAACCCAACAGCATTGCAGTTCTTGACACACTCAAACCGGTGCGCCTGGCACCTATTACCATACCCAGTTCATAGGCACTTAAGTATTTTGTCTTGCCCATTCACCCTCTGGATGGCACACATACACAATCCATGTCTCAATTGTCTCAAGTCTTAAAAATCCTTCTTTAACCTGTCTCCTCCACTTCATCTACACTGATTAAAGTGGATTTAACAAGTGACATCAATAAGGGTTTGCTTTCTCCTGGATTCACCTGGTCAGTCTATGTGTTTCTAAGGTTGAATATACTCAGTGTACATTATATGTGATAAATTTGGGTTGCGGGTTTACAATTTCACCTTTTCTAAGATCTCTGCCAAGCAAGGAGGAAAGAATCAGCTTGTGGGCTTACTGCAAATGCAAAAATACACACACAAGGGAACTCCTTCAAAACTCTGTGTGAGGCTATCATGATTTGTTTGCTCATCAAGTCTCTTTTTCTGGAAGTCGTCAAGATGGAAGTCTTATTTTTTGGGGGTAGGGGTCGCCTGGAGGTCAATTCTGACATTTACATTTTTTTTTACATTTTAGTCATTTTAGCAGACGCTCTTATCCAGAGCGACTTACAGTTGGTGAGTGCATACATTTTTTCATATTGGTCCCCCGTGGGAATCGAACCCACAACCCTGGCGTTGCAAGCGCCATGCTCTACCAACTGAGCTACACGGGAAATAAGCTGTAAACCAAGATGGTGGATAAATGAAAATATTTAACTCAAGCCTTTTACCATTGAAAGAAATGGTCAGTTCCGGTCTACTTAACTGGGTGTCTCCCATAGACACCAATGCAATAGCAGTTGTGTCTGGTCTACTTAGTTAATTGACTTTCATTGAACCAGAAAAAAACAGCGAGGAAGGTGTCTCACTTCCTCTCCCATCTCTGCTGGTCAAAACGCAGTGAGCACTGTGGATGGAAATGAAAATGACACTCCCACTTCATGGTCATCGGATGATCGAGGATGTCGACAGGTTTCCCTTTAACCAGAAACTTTGCACTTTCATGGGCTGCAGATTAAAGAAATGTTTTATTGATTGTAACTTTCCTCTTATTCTTCCTGTGTACAGCCTACCTGCTCCAAAAGTCCAAACCTTAAAAAATAATATATTTTTCCCATGTGTAACTGTTTTAACTGCTTATCAAAAACAGTCATGACCAATGTCCATTGTTGAAAATCATACTAGGCTGTACCATGGACTCAACTGACAAACAGTAGAATAAAATTGTCCACTAAAATCAATGTAGGCAATAGTCAAGAATCAAACAGCGTGTTTTCAAAAATTCTCATCTGTATCCTTAATAAAGTGTAAAATACAAATAACATTAAACAAACACCTCTCATACACACAAATAAACTCTACTTAACTTACAAAAATAAAGTGTAGCACACTCATTGGACTAAAATGGAATTGTCATACATGTTCTTATTTCTGTATGTGTGTGTGATTTGTTTCTGGTTGATTGGGTTTGTACTTTGTCTCATTGCCACAAGGGACAAATCACTTTTGGGTTGCGCCTTCAAGGGAGTAGGACCATTGCATGCCAGTCCCTAGTACTATAAAAAGGTTCAGAAACACTGCTTTAAGAAGGGGTTGTGAATGGCTTGATGAGGCCGAGGTCCATGGCCTTGACCAGGCAGGTGCGTGCCACATCGATCACAATCTGCCTCTTGGGGTTGTTCATTGCTTTGCCAATCACTGTCAGGATCTCCAGGATCTCGCTCTCGATCAGCTTTTTTGCCAGCTCGTTGTCGTCCGAGTTCAGTATGTTGTACACGATCACCAGGCCTCTGTGCTGGATCTGGGGCTGGTCATGGAGAATCAGCCTCTGAAGGATCTCCATCCACTGCAAAGTCTGTGGAGAGAACCGAGAAAATATTTGTCATTCAAAGTGATGAAGTGGATGAGGGCTCACCGTACATATTGAATAAGTAATGTATAACTAATCATTGTTGTATTGATTAAGTCATAACTATAATCAATGTTGTGATGATACAGTGTTGTGATTGATTGAGACAATTCGGCAGTTCAATTAAGTTAGTATCTTTGCACAGCAACTGCCTTTGGGTCACCCCAAGTTGAGTGTACTAGTGTGAATGCAACCAGACAGACATACCACCAGGGTCATCTTGGTGCACAGTTTCTTCTGGGCGGCAGTGAGCATGGCCAGTGCTCCGGCTGCAGCTCTCTGGAGCTTTTCATCGTCCTCAGCACACATCAGCACCAGCAGCTTCAGCCTATCATTCCCATCCTCCAGGTACCGATCCTGCACCTGAACACACAATGGTGACATTAGTTACACTGGGTGACACGTTTGTTACCTGCATACACAACACACACACTGTATGTGATGACATTGTTCCCTAAGATTGAGGGGTGTCCTCTCACCTCTTTGCACGTCACCAGGTTGCACATGCACTCTGTGGCTGCCTGTCTGATATGGTCATGGTCTTCAAACATGTACTGCTCAATCTCAGGGAGAGCCTTCTCTTTCAGTATCTTCACTCTGGAGCCGTGGAGGATGGGAGGAAAGAGTTAAGAAATCACGCAACCATCTCATCTCCTCCACTCAAAACGCTCTGGCAGCAACAGTAAAAAAAAAAAAAAAATATTTTTTTAAAAAAACACTCTGGAAAGTCCCCAGAACATATCTGAGCCCACAGCTGTTTTCTGTTTAGTGTCATATTTATTTGAACAAAATTTTTGGACACTTATTAGACACACACTTGTCCTCTCACACCTCTATTACTTTATAGTGATTGTTGAATAATCTGTAATAGTCTCAGGTGTTTAGTTGGGTTATACATGCATACATGGAATAAATGTTGTAGATCTTAATGTTTTTCCACAAAATCCTGGACTATCGGACCACCATTTTATTACGTTTGCAATCGCAACAAATAATCTGCTCAGACCCCAACCAAGGAGCATCAAAAGTCGTGCTATAAATTCTCAGACAACACAAAAATTCCTTGATGCCCTTCCAGACTCCTTCTGCCTACCCAAGGACGTCAGAGGACAAAAATCAGTTAACCACTTAACTGAGGAACTCAATTTAACCTTGCGCAATACCCTAGATGCAGTTGCACCCCTAAAAACGAAAAACATTTGTCATAAGAAACTAGCTCCCTGGTATACAGAAAATACCCGAGCTTTGAAGCAAGCTTCCAGGAAATTGGAACGGAAATGGCGCCACACCAAACTGGAAGTCTTCCGACTAGCTTGGAAAGACAGTACCGTGCAGTACCGAAGAGCCCTCACTGCTGCTCGATCATCCTACTTTTCCAACTTAATCGAGGAAAATAAGAACAATCCAAAATTTCTTTTTGATACTGTTGCAAAGCTAACTAAAAAGCAGCATTCCCCAAGAGAGGATGGCTTTCACTTCAGCAGTAATAAATTCATGAACTTCTTTGAGGAAAAGATCATGACCATTAGAAAGCAAATTACGGACTCCTCTTTGAATCTGCGTATTCCTCCAGGGCTTAGCTGTCCTGGATCTGCACAGCTCTGCGAGGGCCTGGGATCGGGAGAGACACTTAAGTGTTTTAGTACTATATCTCTTGACACAATGATGAAAATAATCATGGCCTCTAAACCTTCAAGCTGCATACTGGATCCTATTCCTACTAAACTGCTGAAGGAGCTGCTTCCTGTGCTTGGCCCTCCTATGTTGAACATAATAAACAGCTCTCTATCCACCGGATGTGTACCAAACTCACTAAAAGTGGCAGTGATAAAGCCTCTCTTGAAAAAGCCAAACCTTGACCCGGAAAATATAAAAAACTATCGGCCTATATCGAATCTTCCATTCCTCTCAAAAATTTTAGAAAAAGCTGTTGCGCAGCAACTCACTGCCTTTCTGAAGACAAACAATGTATACGAAATGCTTCAGTCTGGTTTTAGACCCCATCATAGCACTGAGACTGCACTTGTGAAGGTGGTAAATGACCTTTTAATGGCGTCAGACCGAGGCTCTGCATCTGTCCTCGTGCTACTAGACCTTAGTGCTGCCTTTGACACCATCGATCACCACATTCTTTTGGAGAGACTGGAAACCCAAATTGGTCTACACGGACAAGTTCTGGCCTGGTTTAGATCTTACCTGTCGGAAAGATATCAGTTTGTCTCTGTGAATGGTCTGTCCTCCGACAAATCAACTGTACATTTCGGTGTTCCTCAAGGTTCCGTTTTAGGACCACTATTGTTTTCACTATATATTTTACCTCTTGGGGATGTTATTCGAAAACATAATGTTAACTTTCACTGCTATGCGGATGACACACAGCTGTACATTTCAATGAAACATGGTGAAGCCCCAAAATTGCCCTCGCTAGAAGCCTGTGTTTCAGACATAAGGAAGTGGATGGCTGAAAACTTTCTACTTTTAAACTCGGACAAAACAGAGATGCTTGTTCTAGGTCCCAAGAAACAAAGAGATCTTCTGTTAAATCTGACAATTCATCTTGATGGTTGTAAAGTCGTCTCAAATAAAACTGTGAAGGACCTCGGCGTTACTCTTGACCCTGATCTCTCTTTTGACGAACATATCAAGACTGTTTCAAGGACAGCTTTTTTCCATCTACGTAACATTGCAAAAATCAGAAATTTTCTGTCCAAAAATGATGCAGAAAAATTAATCCATGCATTTGTTACTTCTAGGTTAGACTACTGCAATGCTCTACTTTCCGGCTACCCGGATAAAGCACTAAATAAACTTCAGTTAGTGCTAAATACGGCTGCTAGAATCCTGACTAGAACCAAGAAATTTGATCATATTACTCCAGTGCTAGCTTCCCTACACTGGCTTCCTGTTAAGGCAAGGGCTGATTTCAAGGTTTTACTGTTAACCTATAAAGCGTTACATGGGCTTGCTCCTACCTATCTTTCCGAGTTGGTCCTGCCGTACATACCAATACGTACGCTACGGTCACAAGACGCAGGCCTCCTAATTGTCCCTAGAATTTCTAAGCAAACAGCGGGAGGCAGGGCTTTCTCCTATAGATCTCCATTTTTATGGAACAGTCTGCCTACCCATGTGAGAGACGCAGACTCGGTCTCAACCTTTAAGTCTTTACTGAAGACTTATCTCTTCAGTAGGTCATATGATTGAGTGTAGTCTGGCCCAGGAGTGTGAAGGTGAACGGAAAGGCTCTGGAGCAACGAACAGCCCTTGCTGTCTCTGCCAGGCCGGTTCCCCTCTCTCCACTGGGGTTCTCTGCCTCTAACCCTGTTACAGGGGCTGAGTCACTGGCTTGCTGGTGCTCTTTCATGCCGTCCCTAGGAGGGGTGCGTCACTTGAGTGGGTTGAGTTACTGACGTGATCTTCCTGTCTGGGTTGGCGCCCCCCCTTGGTTTGTGCTGTGGTGGAGACCTCTGTGGGCTATACTCGGCCTTGTCTCAGGATTGTAAGTTGGTGGTTGAGGATATCCCTCTAGTGGTGCGGGGGCTGTGCTTTGGCAGAGTGGGTGGGGTTATATCCTTCCTGTTTGGCCCTGTCCGGGGGTTTCTTCGGATGGGGCCACAGTGTCTCCGGACCGCTCCTGTCTCAGCCTCCAGTATTTATGCTGCAGTAGTTTATGTGTCGGGGGGCTGGGGTTAGTTGGTTATACCTGGAGTACTTCTCCTGTCTTATCCAGTGTCCTGTGTGAATTTAAGTATGCTCTCTCTAATTCTCTCGTTCTCTCTTTCTCTCTGAGAACCTGAGCCCTAGGACCATACGTCAGGACTACCGGGCATGCTGACACCTTGCTGTCCCCAGTCCGCCTGGCCTTGCTGCTATTCCAGTTTCAACTGTTCTGCCTGCGGTTACGAAACCCCTACCTGTCCCAGACCTGCTGTTTTCAACTCTTAATGATCGGCTATGAAAAGCCAACTGAGAGACCTGAGCCCTAGGACCATACGTCGGGACTACCGGCCGTGGTGACTCCTTGCTGTCCCCAGTCCGCCTGGCCTTGCTGCTATTCCAGTTTCAACTGTTCTGCCTGCGGTTATGGAACCCCTACCTGTCCCAGACCTGCTGTTTTCAACTCTTAATGATCGGCTATGAAAAGCCAACTGAGATTTATTCCTGATTATTATTTGACCATGCTTGTCACTTATGAACATTGAACATCTTGGCATGGTTCTGTTATAATCTCCACCCGGCACAGCCAGAAGAGGACTGGCCACCCCTCATAGCCTGGTTCCTCTCTAGGTTTCTTCCTAGGTTTTGGCCTTTCTAGGGAGTTTTTCCTAGCCACCGTGCTTCTACACCTGCATTACTAGCTGTTTGGGGTTTTAGGCTGGGTTTCTGTACAGCACTTCGAGATATTAGCTGATGTACGAAGGGCTATATAAAATAAAATTGATTGAAAATTGATTGATACTGTGGTGGGGTTGGTAAACTAACAGGCCTCACCTCAGTTTGTCGTTGAGACCAGCCAAGTTGGTGAGACTCAGAAGTGCCTCGTAGTTCTGCACTCCGTCTCTCTCAGGGTGCAACAGGCTGACCAGAGGACGCACCACCTCATAGATCTATCAGAGAGAGAGAGATGACAAGGCAGGGTGAGGGAGGTAGGGTAAGAGAGAGAAAGAGAGCAGGAAGCAGAAAGAGAGGGACATAGGAAGAAAGGATATGAAGGACAGAGAAAGAAGAATAAAGTTGAGTTGAAAAAAATTGTTTTAGTGAATGCAAGATAAATATTTTAGTTATGAGTCACTTCCCTTTCCCATACCAGCCCACACCCTCTCCCCCATGTAACAGGTAGTGGTCAGACAGGCTCTTACCCTCTCTCCTGGGAAAGCAATCTCTGGGTTGGAGACAGCAGCGATCTTGGCCAGGGCGTGGGCGGCCCTTATTTTCCCTATAGCTGTTCCCTCCAGAGCCAATGGGATCAGAGCCTGGGGATCACACAGCAAGAGATCAGAGGTTCAGACACACCCACACACATGCTTCAACCCTTAACATGACATTATGACATACTGTAGCCTACATGTGACTATGGTTGGGCAGACACCACATGACTGATCCGAGCTCACTAGTTAATAGTTTTCACTATGACACCTCATAGTTGTTTTGAAAAAGATAATGTTTTCTTAATACAGTCAGAAACCTACTGGTTAGATAAGGGTAATAAATCAAATGTAAGGCTGGTTATAGGTTGAAACAGTGATGATACTAGAATGGAGGATCTGATGAGTCTGTTGTGTCTGTCACTCACCTTGCCCCCTCCATGGGCGCAAATCGTTCCACGGTCTTTGGCATCATCTGCCAAGGCAAGGAAGACCCTGCGGATAAAAGCAAACACCATTGATTTCAATCTCATTTGTTCTGCAGTATTGCTTATTGCATGTACTGACTGTAGGTTGGCTCTGGATAAGAATGTCTGTGACAGCTAAATGCTCGAGCCTAGTACAGTCCCAGGTTGCTCACCTTGCCAGCATCTCTTTGGTCTGGTCAGTCAGGAGAAGGTTGTCTGCTTTCACCATGACAGTGAGAGCTGAGATGACCCCTCCCTTTAGCATCCTCTTCACTCTCTTCTGGATGAAATCCTTCTTGTCCTAAGGGCAGAGAAGTGTGTGTATTGTCAACACCTCCCTCAGCCAATATACCTAGGACCTCACAATAAAAATAGAACTTTGCTTACAGTAGAGAGCAGCATAGTCATGTGTATAACCTTTATCCTAGTTTAATTTACAGTGCTGAATGACAGTGACTTGGTGTACAGTTCTTCCCTGACATAAATAAGGATGACTTTTTGTGTATTTTGTATTTTATTAGGATCCCCATTAGCTGTTGCGAAAGCAGCTGCTACTCTTCCTGGGTTCCACACAGAGCATGAAACATGACATAATACAGAACATTAATAGACAACAACAGCTCAAGGACAGAACTACATACATTTAAAAATGGCACAAATAGCTACACGTCAATACATGCACACAAAATATCTAGGTCAAATAGCGGAGAGGCGTTGTGCCGTGAGGTGTTGCTTTATCTGTTTTTGAAACCAGGTTTGCTGTTGATAATGGCTCTATATAATACTGTACACTTTCTTGAGTTTGTTCTGGATTTTGGGACTATGAAAAGACCCCTGGTGGCATGTCTGGTGTGTGTGTCAGAGATGTATGTAAATTGACTATGCGAGCTTGTTGTACAGTTCTGCCTGCTGGACAGACAGGGGGAGGCCTGTGTCTTTCTCTTATCTTACCTTGGGGTGTTGCTCAGGGACGTGCTGCTTGGAGAATTTGGCCAGCTGAACCAGCTCAGGCATGATCTCTTTCTTCTCATAGCTGTTGGTGCAGTTGACCAGGGTACAGGCCACAGCATACAGGATGGTCTTATCTTTAGACTGTATCACAAGGAAACAGGGAAGAGCGACGTTTAGTACTCTCCTCCAGGTCACATATGCACCCTTTAATGCCACTAGGCTCATGTTATGTGCTATGAGTTGGGAACTCTGCTCTGTCTTTAATAGTACAGTTCCTACCTTGGCCAGTTCAAACATGGCTTTCATGGCAGGCTCGTCCTCAACAAAGTCATCCTTTACATCAGCGTCTTGGGTCAGGTAGGCCAGACCTTCTATAGCCCACTTCCTGGTCTTCGTGTCCATGGCAGAGTTACACAACCACCTGACACACAGGAAGAGGGTTAACAGGGAACCGGGCTAACAGCCATTTCTAAATCACACTGAGGGAATATAATATTGTTCTCTATGCAGCTCAAACACGTCAATATATCAATACAAATAGCCTATAATTATCCAGATAAAGAGTCGTAATTGTCTGGACTTGGTGTGTAATTAGTAAAGTATAAGGGTACAGATATGTTCACATTCTATTACTCCTGATAGTTGTACATTTACATTTACATTTTAGTCATTTAGCAGACGCTCTTATCCAGAGCGACTTACAGTTAGTGAATACATATTTTTTTATACTGGTCCATAATACTTTTTTTGTCTGTGATCTGTCTATGAATACTTCAGTGATATTAAGACCACAAAGTTACATAATGGCAGATACGTTTTCAAAGCTACCAACCACAAAAACAAGACTCACTTCCGGCACTGCTTGGCCAGTTTCTCAGTGGAGCCCTCAGCAAACTGCCTCATACTATAATCATCTCCCCCTGCTGAACCCAGCTTACACAGACCCTGGAGAAAGGGGGACACAGACACACACAAAACAGTGAGTTCATGAACTTGGAAGGAAAGTTACACTTCGATAAATCTGAAGAGTCCCTGTATTGTTATCAAACATGAAGATCTATCAAATGAACCCCTCAAAAGAGCACATTTCTATTCCATCCCGTCTTACCATAGTATGGAAATCTACAGCTCACTCACCACCAGCGCACGGATCTTGATCTTCTCGTTCTTGGTCTTCTTGTAGATGTCTTTGAGCAGCGACACGCCATTGGTGATGATGAAGGAGGCGCGGCTCATCTTCGTCGAGGAGTGGATCAGCGCTTCCACGGCGACCATCTGGTCCACCTCACGCTCAGAGCCGCACAGCGCCACCATCATCTCCATGATGCCCTGGCGACCCACCAGCTGGTTGCCCACCTCAAAGGGTCCCTGCAGCAGGCCTGACAGAGCGTTGATGGCGTGGATGTTCCTGTCCATGTCGTTGGGGTCAAATTTGCCTCTGTGGAAAGAGTCAGGGTCAGGGGGAGTAGGGTTAAGGGTAGATGAGGGAGAGGTCAGGAATAAATGTTACTGTCAGCTGATTTAGTACCCATCACCATCGTCAATTCTATAGTGCTGTTAGATACTTCCCCTGTTGTAACATTACTCATGATGTATGCGTGCATCACAGATATCTATCAATCTCTGTATGATGTTACTCTCATTAGATATGCTACTCGTAAATTACATTACATTACAATAGAAACTTTGAAAATGATCCATAGATATGCTACTTGTATGTTACTGTTATGTTACTAATATGTAACTCACTTGATGTACTCGTCACAGACTTCCCTGTAGTGGTCTCTCTCGGGGTCACAGCGCAGGTCGTCCCAGAGCTTGTCAAGCAGCACACTGGCGATGAGCTGAGTGTTCTCTGTCATGGGCAGCTGGTCTGGGAGGTCAGGTATCTGGCCACACACCTTCAGGATCTTCTTCAGACCTGGCGGGGGGTTCACAAAGCAAGATGAATGGCAACTTCTCTAAAATAAGTTGATACTCTCAGTACTCCATATTCAACTTATCTTTCACTACAAACCAGAAAATAATGACATACTTTAAGACTTCACTTTCATAAACAGTGAACAACTTTATCAAAGGCCTACTTAGTGTCACAGATCATAATCAAAGCTAACCCACTCACTCACCATGGTCGATGGTGAAGAGGCTCTTGGAGTGGTCAGGGTCTTTCTTGTCCTTGCGAGGCACGTTCCTGCTCAGCAGGTTCAGGGCCTGGTCTCTGCCGTGTCCTGAAACCTTCTTACTGGCAACCATCTCCAGCAGGGCCATCAGGATACTCTTCAAGTCTTTGCTTGCATCTGCAGGGGAGTGAGAAAGTGTCAGACCAGTTTTATTAACCGTTATAAAACACAAACAAGACCTTCAAAATCTGTTTATATAGCTGAAAGATGCTATTCTGAGGCAATTCACATTTGGTAAAAAGCACTACATACATGTATATACAGTTCAAGTCGGAAGTTATATACAACTTAACCAAATACATTTAAACTCAGTTTTTCACAATTCCTGACACTTAATCCTAGTAAAAACTCTTAGGTCAGTTAGGATCATCACTTTATTTTAAGAATGTGAAATGTAAGAATAATAGTAGAGAGAATGATTTATTTCAGCTTTTATTTCTTTCATCACATTCCTAGTGGGTCAGAAGTTTACATACACTCAATTAGTATTTGGTAGCATTGCCTTTAAATTGTTTAACATGGGTCAAACGTTTCGGGTAGCCTTCCACAAGCTTCCCACAATAAGTTGGGTGAATTTTGGCCCATTCCTCCTGACAGAGCTGGTGTAACTGAGTCAGGTTTGTAGGCCTCCTTGCTCGCAAACGCTTTTTCAGTTCTGCCCACACATTTTCTATAGGATTGAGGTCAGGGCTTTGTGATGGCCACTCCAATACCTTGACTTTGTTGTCCTTACGCCATTTTGCCACAACTTTGGAAGTATGCTTGGGGTCATTGTCCATTTGGAAGACCCATTTGCGACCAAGCTTTAACTTCCTGACTGATGTCTTGAGATGTTGATTCAATATATCCACATAATTTTCCTTCCTCATGATGCCATCTATTTTGTGAAGTGCACCAGTCCCTCCTGCAGCAAAGCACCCCCACAGCATGATGCTGCCACCCCCGTGCTTCACGGTTGGGATGGTGTTCTTCGGCTTGCAAGCAACCACCTTTTTCCTCCAAACATAACAATGGTCATTATGGCCAAAAAGTTCTATTTCTGTTTCATCACACCAGAGGACATTTCTCCAAAAAGTACGATTTTTGTCTTGTGGTGATCTACAATTATTTTCCCATGATGTCAAGCAAAGAGGCACAGAGTTTGAAGGTAGCCTTGAAATACATCCACAGGTACACCTCCAATTGACTCAAATTATGTCAATTAGCCAATCAGAAGCTTCTAAAGCCATGACATCATTTTCTGGAATGTTCCAAGCTGTTTAAAGGCACAGTCAACTTAGTGTATGTAAACTTCTGACCCACTGGAATTGTGATACAGTGAATTATAAGTGAAATAATCTGTCTGTAAACAATTGTTGGAAAAATTACTTGTGTCATGGACAAAGTAGATGTCCTAACCGACTTGCCAAAACTATAGTTTGTTAACAAGAAATGTGTGGAGTGGTTGTAAAACGAGTTTTAATGACTCCAACCTAAGTGTATGTAAACTTCCGACTTCAACTGTAAATGCAGAAACGTAAGTAGATGTCTCACCCAAAACCAGGGCTTCCTCCTTCCCATAAATCCTCCGGTCTCCTCCGGTAAGGGAATCGTTGATGCACTGGAACAGGTCGGAGGTTGCCAAGGCGATGTCCTCGTTGTCGACAGCCATGATGCTACACAGCTTATCTATGCCCACCAGGTGAATAATGGCCATGGTCTGTTCAGAGACAAAGATACAGGTCAACTGAGTGTACACAAGGGGGACTATGGTTAGACATTACAATAGAAACTTTGAAAATGATCCATATCTGTCACAAAGGACCAGGAATTGGATTGGCTCCCCTTATCTCTCCTTCTCACAGAATCCCTTATGCACCGCCCTGTCTTCACCTGCCCCTCACCCGAGCTTTGTGTCCAGTGCACATTCCCGCGAAGGTGCGGATAGCAGCCAGGACCATCTCTACTTTTCCGGTCTCAAGCATATCCAGCAGCAGAGGCACTCCGTTGTTCTGGAAGATTCTCTCTGCGCCAGCATCTTCTCTGGCCAGAACAACCAGGTTGTTAGCAGCCTACATGGGTAGTAAATACTATTCATATTGCATTTGATATCAGACTGTAAAAATATTAAAGACCACAGCATCATGCTTAGTACAGTAAGTTGAATCAATGGAACTGATCTCTACTATGGTGTCATTCAAACCTTTTCCTTCTTGTCGTTGTCCATCTCCTCATCAAGCAGAATGTCAAACATGTTCTGAACCCGTGAGTCTGTGGAGAAGGTTGTCTTCAGCTGTAGACAGAGAGCGAGAGAGAGAGAGCATGAGAGGGAAAGAGAGATCCAGATAAGTACCACAATCAGTTTTTTTATGTCTTGTTCATATATCAATGAAATATTATAATCACATAGTTATCAGTAAGTAAACCAATGGATTGTGTCTAAAGGGTCCCAGTGGGTAGCAGACCTTGGCTTGGATCTCAGCCCCCAGCCTCCTGAGGGTCTCCAGGAAGGTCTTGTTTTTGGGCTCGATGGTGGAACACCTCTGGACGTCTTTGAAGGCCATGTCTAGCTTGCCCAGCTTCTCCAGAGCCTGGCACCGACGGAACAGGGCTTTGACGTCTGTTGCATCCACGTCAATGGCTGTTGGAGAGCAGAGAATGTGTCTGGGTTGAAGTGAAAATATCACTGTGGTATGAGCATAATCCATTTTTTTCATTTTATGTGACAGTGAGCACGGCAAAAAAAAACTTTACTGGCTGTGTTTTGATTCTTGTTTATTACTAAACATTTATTAGACTGTACCGTACCTTTGGAGGCATCAGAGGCTGCATTGGTGTAGCTTTCCTGAGAAGGAAAGAAAGAGCGTTCAAAATCATCAGAGGATCAGGAAATCACACCCAGGGATTAATAATAATAAAACTATTCCCTTTTTTGCTTGATGAAGGCCTGTGGTTGAGGTTAGGTGTTTACCTTTTTCAGGAAGCAGGCTGATCTGTTCCTGTAGATGACAGCGAGCACCTTTTTGTCTTTGCACAACTTGATGGCTTTAGTGTAACACTCAATGGCCTTGTCCACCTCACCGGCTTGGAAATGCTTGTTTCCCTCATCTTTTAACTGGATTGGATCTGCCATCTCTTCCATCTGGTGAGGAGATGAGATGAGAAGTTATAGTTTAAAGGTTCCAGGTTACGTTATGACTTGAACATTAAAGCCAATGAATGACTGGTACTCACAGAGTAAACAGCACATGTTTCTGGAACATTACATTACTCTTCTAACACTATAAATTGAACATGTATCTCTATACTTAATAATACAGAAACAATACATTTAAAACACATTGCAGCCAATTCTGAATCTGGAACAATTATGTAAAAATATACCCACCTGTTCCTGGTAGATTATGTCACTTTTACAACCACTTTTACAACCACTTTTACAAACAAACTTACACATTTAAATCAAGAAGAATGCCAGCTAAATGAAAAATGACAAACAAATTCCAGAAAATATAATATTGTATGAAAACGAATACACTTTTTACCGTTACTACTACAATGTCTCCTGACCTGAGTCCCCTTTAGCAAAGGGCCCATCACATGATTTCTCTAACTTTAAAATGACCTCCCCTCGTGCCTTATTTGGGCATCGTTTTGCACCCCAGTGGGGGCCTTACCACTGATACAACCATTCTAATGGACAGCCACTCCACCGCTCCTGATAGACAATCACCATGTCCCCTGTCCCCTGTCCTAGAGCCCCTGGCAGGCAAGAATGTCACTCAAGACCGTGTACACTCAATACATGTCTCCCAATAGCGCCATATAATACCTTTAGGATTGTGTGTCTTCTCCTTTCTTCTTTTATTTTCTCTTCCGTCACTTGAGTGTCTAATGTTGAGCTTCACTCCCTGATTGTTGTGCGTTCAATATTTTGGGTATTAGTGCAATCCCCTCCCCTTCACAATTTATATTTATACTAATCTCAATGAGGTGGGCCAAAACCAGGGTGGGACCATTTAAAAAAGGGATGGGGGTCTACTCTACACAGAACAGACAATTCCTGAGAGAACTGTACACTGAATTCTCACATTTAGCATTGGATTGGGTTTGTTAAAATGCCCCATTGCTTTTATGACAACATACCAATGCTGAGTCATTAAAATAACTGCATAGTAGATGATCTTTTTGTTCTCTATTTGTACGTTATGACATGGGTAACCCCATTGGAACATGGTCCTGATATGGTCTATTTAAGGAATAGGTTTGATGACAGCTGAGAACTCACCAGCAAATGCTTGTGCAGCTCTAGTGAGGCGGGGGGTGGTTGTAGTGGGGGGTCTGGCAGCCACTGAGAGCTGTAGGAACACACAGAACGACCTGACAGCTTCTAGAAAGAGAAAGCTCTCGAGTGTGAGTGTGTGTGTGTCAGGCATTTTCTACAACTTTCTGTCAGGTTGGATGGGGAGCGTTGAATCACAGCTATTTTCATGTCTCTCCAGAGATGTTCGATCGGGTTCAAGTCCGGGCTCTGTCTGGGCCACTCAAAGACATTCAGAGACTTGTCCCGAAGCCACTCCTGCGTTGTCTTGGCTGTGTGCTTAGGGTTGTTGTCCTGTTGGAAGGTGAACTTTCGCCCCAGTCTGAGGTCCTGAGCGCTCTGGAGCAGGTTTTCATCAAGGATCTCTCTGTACTTTGCTCCGTTCACCTTTCCCTCGATCCTGACTAGTCTCCCAGTCCCTGCCTCTGAATAACATCCCCACAGCATGATGCTGCCACCACCATGCTTCACTGTAGGGATGGTACCAGGTTTCCTCCAGAAGTGTCGCTTGGCATTCAGGCCAAAGAGTTCAATCTTGGTTTCATCAGACCAGAGAATCTTGTTTCTTATGGTCTGAGAGTCCTTTAGGTGCCTTTTGGCAAACTCCAAGCGGGCTGTCATGTGCCCTTTACTGAGGAGTGGCTTCCGTCTGGCCACTCTACCATAAAGGCCTAATCGGAGGAGTGCTGCAGAGATGGTTGTCTTTCTGGAAGGTTCTCCCATCTCCACAGAGGAACTCTGGAGCTCTGTCAGAGTGACCATCGGGTTTTTGGTCACCTCCCTGACCAAGGCCCTTCTCCCCCGATTGCTCAGTTTCCCCAGATCTGTGCCTCGACACAATCCTGTCTCGGACCTCTACATACAATTCCTCATGGCTTGATTTTTGCTCTGACATGCACTGTCAACTGTGGGACCTTATATAGACAGGTGTGTGCCTTTCCAAATCATGTCCAATCAATTGAATTTACCACAGGTGGACTCCAATCAAGTTGTAGAAACATGTCAAGGATGGTCAATGGAGCTCAATTTCGAGTTGCATAGCAAAGAGTCTGAATACTTATGTAAATAAGGTTTTTCTGTTTTAAATTGTTCATAATTTAGCAACATTTTCTAAAAACCTATTTGCACTGTCATTATGGGGTATTGTGTGTAGATTGATGGGAAAAAAACATTTAATCAATTTTAGAATAAGGCTGTAATGTAACAAAATGTGGAAAAGGTCAAGGGGTCTGAATACTTTCCGAAGGCACTGTATATGCTCATCTGTCGTTTGCAGTCAAAGACGCATCCTTTTATCAAAATCAAAACAGGCAACAGAAAGCTGTCAACAGAGACAACTGTCAGAGACAACTGTCTCCCCTCAGAGTCTGGTTCTTCTCAAGGTTCCTTCCTATCTAGTGTGGGAAATTATTCTCTTATATTTTAGATGTGCTGTTAGCTTAATAAGAAAGCATTAATGATTAAACATAATAGGTTTGTACTGTCCTGATATAGATTGGTCAACATAACAAGCTGTGATTAATGTGAGGAACTGTTAGGGGGTAGGATGAGATAAGACTTGTGTCTCACATACACTGCCTCTTTGTTAGACTGCTCAAGGACATGTGTACTGCAAAAGTGCTGCCTCTCTGGACAAGTTGCAAAACAACTAACACCTGGCAACAGTGAAGCGCCAAGGGACTGGGACCAGCCTGTGCGCCAACGATAGGCTGAGTAAGTCTAAACCACGCTCAGTCTCTACTCTGATAGGCCTGCTTGGAGCAGGAACTATCTCTGTCAGAGTATTAAAATAATAATTTTGGGTTGGGACAGTTAGTTCTCTGTCTGCCCTCTGTGGTTTTTCAGTGGGCCCGTATATACGAACATCATATTTACCATTGAAGTGTTTTGCATTAATTAAAATACTAGTCTATTTTAGAAGACTTGTATTGACCTCTTTTTGTTCCTATACCAGATTTGAATTGACGCAACTTAACAATTGGTGACCACTGACGTGATCTGGTAGAAGGACTTCGCTGGGTATTGTCTGGCCGATTGGACATCGCTGTCGTTGGACGGGGTGTTTCACAAAGAGTCTGGACAACTAAAAACAGGTAAGCAGACACCTATTGTTATATAACTAAAGTTCTGCACATTGGCTTTATCCAAATAAATTTTGTGAAACACCTGTCTGATGTAAGTGAACTAAATTATGAATTATTATACGAATTATTATGAGTAGATAAGCACCATATTGTGACATGCAAACCTGTGGTGAATGTGATGTTAAACCTTGGTACTATAGAGTATTGTTCCACCGGCACGTACCAGAGGGCTAGGTATGGCTAGGATCGGGGAAAATACTGAAATCCCCAGGCTAGGACCACCAGGGGTGGAAACTGTGGGATATAGGGAATTATTGGATTAAAAGTGTTGCGCTACTGGCAAGGATCGTAACTACGAGGGTACGGCTAGGATCAGAGGGACACTTACAATTTTAGATAGTGTTGCGCTATCGGCAAGGTCCGTAACTAGTACGGCTAGGATCGTAGGAGCACTTTAAAGTACACTATAGTGTTGCGCTTCGGCAGGGAGTTGTACTTGGGGGTACGACCCAGATCGGAGTAGCACTTTAAAGTATAGGGTGTCGTATGAATGAGAGTGCGAATGATCCCAGTGTAATAAAAGAGTGAATGCGGGTTATTAAAATTAATAAACCTGTATACCTTGATAGAAAACTAATTAGGAGTTAAAGAAGTCTGTGGTTGCTTAAACCATATAATCCGTTAATAACAATTGGGAATATAACGGTAAAAATAATGAATAACTAGTATGACTAAACTGAAACGTTTGAACTGATATAATTGAACTGTAACGTTTGATGTTTGACATAGCATCAGGGGCGGCCTGTTCAATAGGGCGATGTGGGCGACGCACTGCCAAACGGGAAAAGGAAGGGATTTTTTTTCTAATCAATTATATCACGGCAACAGTAGTTATCAGTGTTGTAATCTATACGTCTGATCTGCCACAGTGCCACACTGCCACTAAATGTCGAATCAGGCTAAAGTCGTGCTTCAAATGGCTCCCCCCCCTTTTGGGGCGATTTCAGTCAGGTTGAAAATCGCCCAGAAGTCTCTCATAGCCTCTAATGTAAAATCTATTTTTTTCAAATTTCAGAGCCTTCAATACAATCTCTATGGGTGTCTGAGGGCTTGCACTTACGCGCTTTCGTCATACGTAACGTAACGTAACCATGAACGTAACTGAGAAAAGAGCGGATTGTGTCTTTGAAAGAAGTTCCTTTTTGTCGGCGAACAAATGAAGATAAATTGGCAACGAAACAATTAGGACCTCCCAGACCAAATTTAATAATTCAACAGGTTTCTACTAAAGGCGGAAAGTCCTACACCCGAGGATTTTCCAAAAATTGGTACGAACGGAAAAATAACATTGCCACTCAACTTGATGAGGGATACAGGCTAGCTGTCCGCCGCCACAACGATGAGGTTAGTGTTGATAATCACAAGTTTACTGGAGAACTGAGACCAAGTAGAGACTTTGGACAGGGTGGATATGGTATAATAAAGGCAGTTTATTCAGAGGTAAAGATATCTGGAATCGCGTGCACGGACCCGTTCGTCAAACTCTTAGGGAGCTATAAATTAAGCCCCATTACTTACCATATCAGATAAGAGAAATTGCTGCAGCTACATATATTTTACATCCTGGCCCTACATAGTTCACTATTTGCATCACTTACCAAAATATTACATGTGGTCATATATGCTTGGAAAGTGGAGATGCCATAGAACGTCAAAAAAGTAAACATTGCTGGAGACACATTGCCGTTTTGGAGAAGACATCG